ATCAATTAACCGTAAATAATAAAAAAATACTCGAAAATAAGTCTAATCCTGCAAAATATAAGCAACCTTTTCATCCGATATCATTCAAAGAAATTTAAGTTTCAATTTCTAGTATCGCTAAGTAAAAAATGAATCAAATGCATATCGCAGATTATTATGCCACTTCAATACAATGTCAAGTGACTAACAAGTTTCCTGATTAATATCCCCCTTGTCTTCCTGCTCCTCTCCTCGTAAGCTGCTTGGCTCAGATTGACCGATCTCTATTGCTGCATTGCATGGCCTAGAAAGGTCGTTGCAATCCGTCCCTATTATCTCAGAGCCTAAGCTGACCAGCAAGTGTCGGCAGGCCGGTGTGCAGGCAAGCACGTCGAGTACAGCGTCGCGAAGGCGCCAGCTGTTCACGGCGGGCAGGGAAGCCATATCAAGGAGTCGAAGGAGAAAGGCGAGGCGTTCAGGTGAGCTTGACAAAAGGACACCTAGAAAAATTAAATTCACAACGGCAAGGATGAAAAAGCGTTAAATTGCTGTTGCAAATAAAATAGGTCCTGAAAATATTTAAAGCATTTCTAGCTCGAAAGATCACAGCATTCGAAAATAGGAGTGTAAACTCTAAGGCCAACAAAAGTGCAATGATAATTAAAAAGTATAAGAGGTAAATGCTACAGTCAATAAAAATAAGCAATATTAGAAGATGAGTTTATTAGAATAAAGGCCTCAAGTTGCTTGCAAATATAAGCAGTGGGAATATTATAGCCAATGTTAAACAGATAGCACTGGAGAAATTTTTTAAATCTATATTTATATACCAGTTGACACATGGCTTCTTTGTAAAGACACGTCAGCCAATAGCAACATCATAAAAAATGATGCATTATTTATACCATAGATCTTAATTAACTGAAATTGACTAAATTAGTTCGGATAAAGTTAGAATAAAGGCTTGGATTCTCACCAGGCAGCGTAAGCTCAGAGTTGGTACCGGCAGCAGTGTTATGCTTATCACCAGCCCCGACTGGTTCTTCAAGTCTGCCTAAGTCTGGAGAGTTGAGAGGTTTACGGTGAGTCATTTGTGAGGCTGGATCTTCAGATCTGGATGATGATGAACTTGCATCAGACGGCCCATTGCAGGCAGCAGCAACGTCGCCACCAGTCTGAGACAGTGCAGGAGTGTAGCTCGACTGAGCCCATGCTATCAAAGAGTTAAGATCCGAAGGGAGTTCTTCTTCTGCTTGTATGCCCCAGTCTGAATCATCATTTCGTCTTTTTTCTTCCTCCTGCTCTGCGTCATTTTGAAGTTGAAGCGATTGCCTAAATTCATCAATGTTAGATAGTGATCTTTTGAGCTGAATTGTGTCTCGACCTGCATCGGATTCGTGCTGTGCTGGCCTGGCGTCCATAGAGAAGAACTCAGTGGTTTTTTTATCATCACTTTCCTTGGTAATAAAAGGAGATTCTCGTATTGCCGCCTTTTCGTTCTGACAAAGAACGCCATCATTCTGACCAATCAGCACAACAACTTCATCTTCGCCCTCTTCATTGCTGTTATCCTCCTTTACTTCACACCATGAAGGAGCACGCATCAAGTTCTGTACCACAACGCCGTAGTCAAGAGATGGTTCACTAACGACTGTTCGAGACTCGGACAATATGCATTGCTCATAGAAGCCATCATGATCGTCAATATGGCTGTCGGACCAAAATTCAGCAGGAGTCAAAGTAGCGTTTCGTTTGGAGGAAGTCGTGGGAAAAATTCTAGCCAGAAGAGTAATACTATAGGAATAAAAAGCAAATAAATGAAAATTAAATAGATGAGAACTTCAAAACCTTTTGACGACGAAACATTGGGTCTAAAATATGAAAACATTAATTCTCTTAATTAGTCAGGATGACAAAGGGATAATATATCAGCCAGTCATATTGATCTACGCTCAGCTCCAGTAGTAAACACGAGAAATTATGAACAAGCAGAATCTCACTTATAACATCTGGCCAAGAATGTAGTCAGATGCAACCCTAAAATACTTTTATAATCATAATTTAGTTGTTCATG